TATATATATATATATATATAGGTATATATATATAGGTCATGTCAATATCTCAATTACCATTTATTTATTTTTTAATTTAAAAATAATCAATTTTTTTAGAGTTAAATTAAGTGATGCAATAAAAACTAATTTTACATAGACTCCTTTCGCTATTCATTACATATGGCATACGAATTAGGAACGTGTTGCACGATGTAAGTCTTTGAGGGACAAAATCCTTTTCTTAAGTGTGATTAACATTGTTATTTAATCAAAATTAAAATTTTATTTCGAAAATATGTATAAATATATAATAATAAAACTTATATTAAATATAAATTATATATTGATGATATAAAACTTAAAGAGCCCTACCAATCACACCTTAAAAAAATTAATTGCACCTAACTTTAAGTTGATTTCTTAAAAACTTTGCATATAGCATGCTTCGCTCCTTATCACTTTTTAACCCACATCACATTGTTTTCACTATTGTTAGTATTATAATTTTCTTGAACTTCGGCTTGCAAATTTATTTATTACTTCTTGAATTTGGGTATCCTAAAATCTGTGCAGTCCATACTAAAACAACTACCTCGTTCTCAGCAACCTGGTACTGTTTCTAGATTATGTTTGAATTGAAAAATAATTAATTAATTTTAAAATAAAAAACAAATTTTCATGTCATAAAAAATTAATGGTGATTGGTAGCCGATGTGGCTTAATTCTAACAGAAAAATTAATGGTGTTTAAAAAAGGATTCAAAAGAGGTATTATGCAAAATTGGAAGATTAAAAATACAGAGAAATGGTTGAGGAGGTAAAATCAAATTGACTCAATTTTTTAAGGATCAAAATTATAGTTAACTCTTAAAATTTTTAGTACTAACGAAAACGAAATACTTTATGATTCTATTTGTTTTAAAATAAAAATAAAAAAGATAAAATTTAAAAATAATGAAGTACAAAATTTCCTGTAAAATAAATAAATGAAATGAAAAGGACAATGGAAGAGGTGTGGTTTAAAAGTGGTTATTATAGAAGTGAAATAGTTTAAAAAATGTGTAAGGAAATAAATGTATTGCATATATTATTAGTATAGAATTATAGAAGTATAGATTATCTTCATGTACTCTTAGGTGTAAAGTATTTTTATAATTCTTCCATATAAAAAAAATTTGAGTAGGTATTTTAAACTATAATATTTTTTTAGACTAATTTTCTTCAACAAAAGAATTTTTTTTTTATATAGAAATTTTCTCGATCTTTCATCTTTTTTTTATTTTTAGTTTTAGTTTTATATAAAATTTCAATATTTAAAGAAAGAAACTATCAATAATTACATGTAACCTTATATTATAATTAGGGAAAAGGTAGATTCAAATTATGAGAAAGTCGGCCAACTATAAAACTTAAAATTTATTTAACAAAAATATGTGTTATTTTCATACAAAATATTTATAATTATTAAATTTTCAATAATTAAAAAATATTTATAGAAAAGATAATTTAAAAATTCTTTTAAGAATTAAGGTTATAAATGTCATTTTATGTATTACTAGTATTTGCATTCTGATATTTGATTTATTTTCCCAAGATTTATGCAATATGTATTTTGACTTTACACTCAATATTTAAGCATATAAAAGCCTTTAGGCAATGACAATAAAGGGCCTCTTTTACTAGTAATAATATATAATCTATGAAACATGGCATGGTGTGATATTTAAAAGGTTGAAAGATGATGGCATAGAAGCATGCTATGAAGGAGAAAGTTGTCATGTGTCTCCTAAATCTTAAAAGGAAAGTTTGTTCGTTATGGAAGAAGATAAAGGTTTTACTTATTTTTTATCAAAAATATATTTTTTATTCTTTATATTATTTATTAGATTCAATTTAGTATCATTTTAATTAATTGAATTAATTTAGTCTCACATATTTAAAATATATCTCAATGTTTGATTTTCTGTTTCCTCCGTTTAAATACTTAATGGATATGTTTATATATGTCATGAGAGCATGACATATGTCATGTTGTTGTCATGACACATAGACATATCCGTTAAGTATTTTAACAGAGGGGACAAAAAATCAAACATTGAGATACATTTTAAAGATGTGAGATTAAATTAATTCAAATAATTAACGTGAGACTAATTTGACATTAATAAATAATATAAAAGACAAAAATGTATTTTTGCTTACTTATTTTCATAGTCTTTTAAATAAAATGAATGAGCTAGAGGAGAGTTTTTTTCAATATAGACAAAGAAATGGTGAATTCAAGTGATGAGTTGGATTCATCTTCCCCTGTTCCGATTATCCTAGAAGAGTTTAAGGAATAGTGTTTTTTTTTTAACAGCAAATAAAGTTAAATATATATAATATTGGTAAAGGGGTACCATATCCCATGTACAAGATTTTGTGGCTATTAGGAATAGTATACTTTACCCTCTGCAAATTCCCAAATCAAATTAACCATACCCACATTAGTCTAGGTAATTTACTAACCTTTGACCCTAAGTATATAACATTATTGGAGCACGTCAGGCAAACCACGGTAGGTATTGTCCAACAAGCTCATGGTAGTTTTGCCACAACATGCTTCGTAGCAGAAGGTTGTGATCGGCGTGGCACTACGTGTGGAAGCTTGTTGACTCGTGGCATTATCATAGATCATTTCACCTATGTATTCCATTATATAATGGATTGCATAACTTTCGGACACAGCCCCTTACCTTCATCCTAATGAATGACACATGACAGCTACCATTATCCTTCGGCATTAACACTGAATGTTGGGTCCCTCCATCAGTTACCCAGGACGCTCTCAAAACCATCACCAACCCCCAATCTGCCTCACATAGATCATTAAGGAATAGTGTTTAAAAAGGGAAAGATCGAAAGGAAAACAGATAGGATCGATATTGGAATAGATTTCATTGTGTATTGATGAAAGAAATGTACATTATATATACAACTTCGGTATGTGGATAAAAATGAATTAAAAATAATAAAAAATAGCACAAGAAAATTATACAGTTCATCTAATTCTAGAAGAATCATAACTATTTACAACTATTATTCAACTATTTATGGAATGCAAAAATGTGAAGTTGTAGAGTGTCTATTATGACCCATTTCTAGTATGACACAATGTTGTTTTTGGGTTGGATTGGACTCTTTATATGTTAGCCCCCAACAAGTTGGAGGTAAAAAGATGTTGATTAACTTCAACTTGAATAAGTTTAAGTTAAATAGTCTTAGAGGGAGAGTTTTTGTGAAAATGTCAGCTAGTTAGTTCGAGGATGAGACAGGAATTAGTCACATCAACCCAACTTATAGTTTCTCTCAAATAAGGTAACAATCAATGTCTAGATGTTTTGTCCATTCATTAAAAATGAGATTTGTTACGATATGTAATGCATTTTGATTGTCACAATACAAGATAACTTGTTTGGAACAAGAAATTTTCATATCTCAAAGTAGAAAATTTAACCATTGTAACTAACAAGTGGTTGAAGCAAGAGTTTGATATTTTTGGATGATGAGCAAGATATGATGTTTTGCTTCTTTATTGTCCAATAAATTAAGGAATTGTCAAAAAAAATTAACATCTAAAAAGTATAATAATATACTAAAAAGTAAAGATTAAAAATAATTACATATTATAATTTCTCAATATAGATTATAAATTTAAATTGCTAGGGAGACAAAAAAAATTAGTTGATATAAATGCCCCCCACAAATATTAGACTTTAGAGTTTTAAACTATCCACTCGAAAGTAACATTCAACATGTGCAAAAGTATGAAAATTTTAATATACCACATGTTATTGTCGGTTTAACTATTGATGAAATTAACTAGAGTAGCCAATCAGATTGAATTATTGGGTTTTGAATTAAAGTTACATAAACCAATGGTTTTGGTCCTGTGGTGAAAGAATGAAAGTAGTATTAATATCGTTATCATGATATCAATAGATCAAAAAATAAAATGAGTAATGTTATGTATAATATTATATGTAACAATTTGTATAATATTATTTTTATTTTTCTATCATTAATAAATATTTTTTTCATAAAATGTGTACAAATTATTATACAAATTTTATTGTAATGTGTATCATTACTATTTTCTAAATTTTGTTCAAAAATATATTTGTATTGATTTTTATTTCTATATGTAAA